CCCCCCAGAGCCCCCCCAGAGCCCCCCGGGCGGCGCTCACTGTAGGAGGAGATGTCGATCTCGTCGGGCAGCTCGCTGATGTTCACCTCGAAGCGATCCTGGACGTCGTTGAGGATTTTGGCGTCGTTCTCGTCCGACACGAAGGTGATGGCCAAGCCCTTGGTGCCGAAACGCCCGGCCCGCGCCACCTGCCCGGCGGAACCGGGGCTCAGCCGCACCCCGGGACCCCCCCCCGGGCACGGGGGCACCCCAAAAACACCCGAAACTCACACAAAAAACCCGGGAACACACCCAAAACCCACCCCAAAAACCCCGAAATCCACCCAAAACCCCAAAATCCACCCAAAACCCACCCCAAAAACCCCGAAATCCACCCAAAACCCACCCAAAAACCCCAAAATCCACCCAAAACCCACCCAAAAACCTCGAAACTCACACAAAAAACTGGAAACACACCCAAAACCCACCCCAAAACCCCGAAATCCACCCAAAACCCATCCAAAAACCCCCGAAACTCACACAAAAAACTGGAAACCCACCCAAAACCTGAGAACTCCTGAAACCCACCCAAAACCCCCGAAACTCACACAAAACCTGAGCAGAAACCCCGAAATCCACCCAAAACCTGCCCAAAAAATCCTGAAACCCACCCAAAACCTGGCCTGGGGCCCCCCAAAACCCCCCAAACCCCCCCAGGACCCCCCAGGACCCGCCCAGGACACCCCAGAGCCCCCCAGGACCCCCCAAATCCCCCCAGGACCCCCCCAGGACCCCCACCCGGTGCAGGTAGGTGTCCGAGTCCTTGGGCATGTCACAATGAGGAGCTCCCCAAACCCCCCCAGGACCCCCCCAGGACCCCCCAAACCCCCCCAGGACCCCCCAGGACCCCCCCAGGACCCCCACCCGGTGCAGGTAGGTGTCCGAGTCCTCGGGCATGTCGTAGTTGAAGGCGATGTTGACCCTCTCGATGTCCATCCCGCGGCCGAACAGGTTGGTGGCCACCAGGATCCGGCGCTGGAAGTCCTTGAACTGCTGGTACCGGGACAGCCTGGGGGGCACGGGGGGTTTCTGGGGGGGTCTGGGGGGCTCAGGGGGTGTTTTTGGGGGTTCAGGGGTGTTTTTGGGGGGTTTTTGGGGTGTTTTGCGGGTGTTTTGGGGTCCCCACCTCTCCTCCTGCGGCATCCCGCGGTGGATGGCGATGGCCGGGGGGCTCAGGGGGGCTCAGGGGGTGTTTTGGGGGTGTTTTTGGGGGTTCAGGGGTGTTTTTGGGGGTTCAGGGGTGTTTTTGGGGTGTTTTTGGGGTGTTTTTGGGGTCCCCACCTCTCCTCCTGCGGCATCCCGCGGTGGATGGCGATGGCCGGGGGGCTCAGGGGGGCTCAGGGGGTGTTTTGGGGGTCCCCACCTCTCCTCCTGCGGCATCCCGCGGTGGATGGCGATGGCCGGGAAGTTTTGCTCCACCAGCAGCTGCGCCAGGGCGATGCAGCGCTGCACGGACTTGACGAAAATCACAACCTGGGGGGGCCCAAAACGGGGTCAGAGCACCCCAAAACCACCCTGGGCACCCCAAAACTGCCCCTGGGAACCCCAAAATCCCCCCTGGGAACCCCAAAAGTTCCCCTGGACACCCCAAAAGTTCCCCTGGACACCCCAAAACCCTCCCTGGGAACCCCAAATCCCCCCCAGGACCAGGACCCCCCATCCTGGCCCCTCTCTGTGCCCGCCCTGGGGACCCCCCTGCAGGATTTTGGGGTCCCCCTGTGATTTTGGGGTCCCCCTGTGATTTTGGGTTCTCCCTACAGGATTTTGGGATTCTCCCCGTGATTTCGGGGTCCCTCCGGTGATTTTTGGGGTCCCCCCCGTGACTTCAGTGTCCCCCCCATGAGTTTGGGGTCCCCCCCATGATTTTGGGGTTTCCCCGCAGGATTTTGGGGTCCCCCCCAGGATTTTGGAGTTTCCCTGCAGGATTTCGGGGTCCCCCCGGTGATTTCGGGGTCCCCCCCAGACCTGGTTGAACTCGAGCACGTCGAGCAGGTCGAAGAGTTTCCTGTTCTTCTCGTTGTCCTTGAGCTTGACGTAATATTGCTGCAGCCCGTGCAGCGTCAGCTTGGTCTCGTCATCCACGAAGATCTCCATGGGCTGGGGGGGAGCAGGGCCTGAGCCCCCCGCCCGGGGACCCCCTGATCCCACCTGGGGACCCCCTGGTCCTGCCCGGGGACCCCCTGACACCCCCTGAACACACCTGGAGACCCCCTGATCCCGCCCGGGGACCCCCTGAACCTGCCCGGGGACCCCCTGATCCCACCCGGGGACCCCCTGAACACACCCGGGGACCCCCTGAACACACCTGGGGACCCCCTGAACACACCTGGGGACCCCAGCCCCGCATGGGGACCCCCTGACACCCCCTGATCCCACCTGGGGACCTCCTGAACCCACCTGGGGACCCCCTGGTCCCACCCGGGGACCCCCTGGTCCTGCCCGGGGACCCCCTGAACCCGCCCGGGGACCCCCTGAACCCGCTCGGGGATCCCCTGAACCCACCTGGGGACCCCCTGAACCCACCTGGGGACCCCCTGAACACACCTGGGGACCCCAGCCCCGCATGGGGACCCCCTGATCCCACCTGGGGACCCCCTGATCCCACCTGACCCCACCTTGGCATCAAAAAGGAGCCTCGAGGACCCCAAACCTGCCCCAAACCTGCCCCAAACACCCCAAACCTGCCCCAAACCTGCCCCAAACGCC